TTAGTAAAATTATATAGTTGAAATCAAAGTTGATGTTTCCGGGCATGACAACTTCACTGCTGGTGGTTTCAAGCATCATAAGCAACCAGGCAACAGAAAAATCACCCGAACTCATCCAGCTTTCTTTCAAGTTGGTATGCACTCAGTTCATGTCAGAAGAAGAAGAAGAAGAAGAAGAAGAAGAATATAAAAGAGAAGTGCCAAATCAGACACACTCCATCTCGCTTTATCCCGACCTGATCTGATCCATTTGTTACAGTCGAAGTTGTGAGCACGAGAAGATGGTGGAAAGAAAGATACATTACAACCAACGCCGACACCGATCGATGGACGGTGCAGAGAATTGATCGCTCTTGTGAGCGTCAACCACATGTGGGTCCAAAGAGGCCACCAAATTTCCTATGCAAAAGAGAATACTTTTAAGGTGTCAAAGGCAGGTAAAGAATCCCTCTCGTCCTCTCCAAACCACAACTCACATCAGCAGTGTCCGTTGATAACTAATTCTAGATTATACGATAATATATTATAAAATCTAATTAGATTCTAATTATAATTATCAGTTAATATAAAAAATAATTATAATAATTTTAAAAAAAATAACCTTGATGGGAGAAACTCTCTTAATTACCATCATAGACACTTTGTTCTCGTCTGTCTCTATAAGGATAGACCATCGTAAGGACGAAATAATAGTTATTGAGATTATAGATATATTCTCGTAACGATACTATAAATAATAGAAGTGTTGCCTTTGACCCATGACTCTAACATTGCCGCAATGGTAGAGTTTGCTGGCCACAGTCAACATTGAATGGACACTGAAGGCTATGATTCCTAGTGGCTATACGAAAAACGAGAATAGTCGTGATAGGTCGACGACACTCGATAGGTGATGCATGGCCATGGAGGCATTAGACCCATGAGGAACCCGCGTGCGGTGAGAACAATTGTGTGCGGGCATGATAGGACAACACGACAACTAGTGAGGTCATCGATTGGGTTGTATGAGAATAGACACCACCTAACACGATATCCATAGGCGACGAACGATCATGCACCGCGATGGCCACATGCCTTGCGCAAACGAGATCGAAAGAGAAGAAAAAAAAAATAGGGTTCATTTATTGAAATTATAATCTTGCCCTTATAAATATTTTAATTTTAGTTTATATTCTGCCCTTCAACAACTACATATTTTTATTATTATATATCGTAAGAAAAATTATAACTTTATCCTTCAAAAAAAAAAAATAAACTCATCTCCTCAATTATAAAATTGACTAATTCGATTTATTTTAATCAAATATTTTAATCGGACTTGATCATGATTGTATTTTGATTGTTTGATTGGATTTAGATTTAATCGATCAAGTCTTGATCAAATTAAAAAAAATTAATTTTTGATCAATTTTTAACTTTAATCAATTTTATTTTTTAACTAATTTAATTGGATTGATAGTTAGCCTAATTTTAGTTATACCTAATTAAATAGGATTAATTGATCTAATTTAGAACTTTATATAAAATTATAAAAATATATATATTATGATTTTTCTTTTATAATTTTTCATATGATATATTGATAAAATTTTAATTATTATTCTTAAATATTTATTTAGTATGACAATAATTACATACAATCATTATAACTCGCATTGGTAGTTGAACTTAATATAGTATTATTATGTTTATTGAACTTATTGACTTATTTTAAAATTCGTAATTATGTATAAAATATTTTTTTTAACTTTTTCCAGAATTTAAATAAGTTAAATTATTTTTAAATAAAATTTGACGATGATACACTTACAAATGAGATAAAAGTTTTTTGAATAATATCAAAATTTATGTATCATAAATCTTGAACTATCATTATTTGATTTTGATTTTAATATTAAATTTTTATAATAATAATATAATGATAATTTTGATGCTTATACCTAGCACATATAAGCACATATAAGAACATCATTCATGCAGCACCAAGCTTACTATTCCAGTGTTCTTCTCTTTTAACCTTTTGAATCCCTGTCATCCATTCTTTTTTATGTTCTTCAAGGTCTAATCATCATAAAGAGATTGGTATAAAGTTACTTATTCCAAGTTGTTGAAGGAGATGTTAGCTACAATGTTCAGTTCTAAGGCATTTGAAGATTAGTATTTGTAATTCCTATTTTATTATTTTATAATCTATTTAAAAAATTAAATTATTTTTTAATAAAATAGATATAAATATATTTTTTCTTTCTCATTGGAGAACAATATTGAGGGGATAACTGGTGGGGTTGGACAATATTGAGTGGTATCAATGGTGTCGAGGGGTTGTTGTATAGGCATCAACGATTTCAATAATGAACGAAAAGATATTGGAGGGATAACTAAGAGCAAGATCAATCGGGCATTGACAATAAAAATGAAATAGAGTTGTGAGAAAAAAAAAGTGAAAACACTCAATAATACAAGGATTATAATTAGAAAAATAATATTTTATTATTTTTAAAAGAAAATATCAATAATAAGATATTTATCAATAGTAAAAAAAAAAGCTAAAATAGTAAGTTTTGAAGAAATATGTGATAGATTGAGTATTCTACTTTTTTTTCCAATATCAAACAGGAAGGTCAAAATGTTGGGTGATCCAATCATTAAAAATGTGACTTTTGCATCTGCATTATTGCTGCTGTTTCTCACCATAATTAAGATGTCAAGAGAGAAGCCACGCCTACAACAAGCTGGAAGACTGACGTATTGGGCTCATCATCATCACCAATGCTAATGGAGACAACATGTAAATTTGCCATGATTTCATCATTCAATGCTTTCACAATCATTCTGAACGAGCGCATTCCATCCATTCATCTGATTTATGGCTCATAATTTCTTTCCTTATTTCTTCTACCATAGACTTTTGCATCAAAGATTCTTTTATCAGTAAAATTTTTAATTACATATTGGGTATTATGAAAAACAATTTGTCTTCTTTCATGCAGAATAATATAATTTGAGATTTTCTTGGAAAAATAAGAATATAAAGAGAATTCAGAGGAGGATACTGAAGAAATCTTACGGTTGATTGTTTTGTCGTTTATTTTACGTGTGAATAGCAAATCTGGTGGGTTTGGATGACGGGAAAGTGTGCGTACCTGTCAACCCACTCGAGCGAAAGATCCTATTCAACAACCAAATTGGCCACGTTGTCCGTGGGTCCCACCCCACTGTCACCTCTCTCTCTCTCTAAAGATCCAATTCAACAACCAAATGGCCACGTTGTCCGTGGGTCCCACACCATTGTCACCCTCCCTCTCTCTCTCTCTAAAGATCCTACTCATCCACCAAATGGCCACGTTGTCCGCGGTTCCCACACCACTGTCACCCCCTCTCTCTCTCTCTCTAAAAATCCTACTCATCCACCAAATGGCCACGTTGTCCGTGGTTCGCACACCACTGTCACCCCCCCTCTCTCTCTTTCTCTCTCTCTAAAGATCCTATTCAACCACCAAATGGCCACGTTGTCCGTGGGTCCCACACCACTGTCACCCCTCTCTCTCTCTCTCTCTCTCTCTAAAGATCCAATTCAACTACCAAATGGCCACGTTGTCCATGGGTCCCACACCACTTTCACCCCTCTCTCTCTTTCTCTAAAGATCCAATTCAACTACCAAATGGCCACGTTGTCCGTGGGTCCCACACCATTGTCACCCCCTCTCTCTCTCTAAAGATCCTACTCATCCACCAAATGGCCACGTTGTCCGTGGTTCGCACACCACTGTCACCCCCCTCTCTCTCTCTCTTTCTCTCTCTAAAGATCCTACTCATCCACCAAATGGCCACGTTGTCCGTGGTTCGCACACCACTGTCACCCCCCTCTCTCTCTCTCTTTCTCTCTCTAAAGATCCTACTCATCCACCAAATGGCCACGTTGTCCGTGGTTCCCACACCACTGTCACCTCCTCTCTCTCTCTCTCTAAAGATCCTACTCATCCACCAAATGGCCACGTTGTCCGCGGTTCCCACACCACTGTCACCCCCCCTCTCTCTCTCTCTCTCTAAGGATCCTACTCATCCACCAAATGGCCACGTTGTCCGTGGGTCCCACACCACTGTCACCTCTCTCTCTCTCTAA